CCCGATGCAGTATTCAATTATTTTTTGTGTTTTTCGCAAAAGCCACGTAGATACAAAAAATAAAATATCACGACGTTTCGATCACAACGCAAGCAATCGTCATCATTTTCTTCGTACCTGATGACGATTGCTTGTGTTGCGATCGAAACGTCGTGATATTTTTATTATTATTTTTCTATCTACGTGACTTTACCGAAAGACCCAAAGAATATGAATTCCTGCAGTCACGAAAGCTTTAAGTCAATAATTCAATTACTTTAGTCCACAAATGTCATATTTCAGGGCACTATATGAAGTAGGTCATAGTGAATAACATTTTCAATTTTAAAGCAACAAAAGGAATTATTTCATGGATTAAACACGTAGCCAATCTTTTCCATGGCACATTTATTAACCTGCAGGTAAGGCCATTAAATTAATGGGAATATTTTCGCGCATTCTGAGCGCCAATGCACTGTTGGATATATCAGTGCACTTACCCATTGCACTCACCTACCTCTACACGATATACATTTAGATTGTACATACTGTTAAAATTTAATTTGTATTTCTCTACATGAGCAAAGTATATTCTCATTTTATGATGCAGCAGCACTAGCGAAAGAAATACAAGTACGGTAATACGAATGTCATCAGGTGGAGACGCATGGCTGGTTGGGTTTCAATATTAAATAACCTCTCAGCGCCTGGTGTGGCAGCAAGACTGGCGAGCTCCAACTGTGCAAATGTGTGGCAACGCAAAGATAATGAGTGTAAATGTTATCTGCCACATGCTGCAGCCAAGGCCTGTGCGATGGATCACGAGAGAATGGGCCTCTGGCAATGTTAGTGTCCCGTGCATTCAGGAGTAAGAAAGAAAAAAAACACCGCCGACTGATACGTTCACGCCATCTCTTGTGTTGACTGAGATGCCCGGGTGCCAGCGTCCCTTAGTTGATCCATTGGTTGTAACCCTGGTTATTGAGCATCGTGCGGTGGAGCTCTGCCACGTGTGTGGGTGGACCACGTGATGCGTTCTTTACACACGCATATATTTTTAACCCCACGAGGCACCCTTTCAGTGCAATTTTTTTGTTGTTGCGTCAACGTGTGCAGCAAAAGGCAAGAAACTGCTGTCTGTCAGGCGATATATTGTGTGCAGATACCGGGCAAAAAGTGTAAAACACTATTATGTGTGAGGTTTATTGAACATTGTTACTATTACGATTTATTGAAGAAAAAAAACCAAACCAGATGACCCAGGTTCAATGTGATTTTCCACGTACACACACACATATACGCCATTGCTGAAATTACTTGGTGTACACAAACACATATATACAAATATAACAATGGTTTATTTGTTTAATGCCACTCACTCCAGTTGAGGCTTAGAGAAATGGAAGCCTAAAGTAATGTAACATTTTTAACCTCAGCTTAATTCCGCACACCCAGTCCAAGACATTAAAAATAAATACCTGTTGCAGTTATAATAACTGCATAACAATCATAATGTATAGCACCTTCAGCTTGTTTTTTAGGCTATCATGAAGGCGCTGAGTCACAGACGAGTATGCAGTACTCTGCCAGTAGGAGGCAATGAGTAGTTTTACCTAATGAAGATATTGGGATTTGTTTCCTAATTTGGGAAAGAAATGTTATGCCAGCAAATATGGCCGAATGTTTTTCCAATAATATCACGAGATCTTCCACGTCAACTGGGAAGCAGACCAGCAGGTTTTTTTGTCTGGTTACTACACCCACAGCATTAACCCTAACGGCCAAGAGGCTCAAGCAGGGAACTCTGCAACAAGATGGAAACTTATCGCTAGGCCATGTCATTGCATCCTGAAAATATGCACACTGGAACATTACAAATACTTGCATTTTAAAACATGCTCTTCTGCAAAATAAAAAAAACACATGCCTCATGATATGAATAACATTTTTGTGCCATCTTCAATCCACGTATATGGCCACGTGTATAATAATAAAAATAAAAATCCACTGTTACATAAAAGCCATCCAACCGCATCAGTCGTGGGCGTTGTTTGACCATACTTCACCAAGTTGGTCAAGTGCGGGTTTGTGAAGAGCGATGATCACTCTGCACAGACGTTAGCTGCAGCTGACAATGGAATTCGGATCACCAGGACCATAGCACAGGAGGGTCACCGCTTTACCACTGTCATCACTCCCGGCTATGCACCACGTGATTACATAAACAATATAGGTGCATATATGTAGGAATGCTCTCTGTTCTTTAAAACAAAGCAACTATTGAGTCATCATTAAACAGATGATTTGGTGATGCTGCTGCGGTGACATTTGGTGCACAAGCACAAGCAACAAAGACAACACATTCGTCAATAAAAGTAAAACAGGCGACATTTCCATCAATGGCCCTTCGTCATACCTCCTTTATGTGGTATGAAGGGCCATTGTCATATATAATAAAACGACATACTTTACATATTATAAGGCAGTGTTAGTGACAAATGTGTTGAGCTTCATGTTATTTATTTATTCATCATCACATTATGGTCAATCCACTGCTGGACGAAGGCCATTAGGAGCTGCTGCTGCCACCATTCCTAATGATGCTGTGATGAATTTCTCTGGCACCTGCACGTAACGATATTTCATGGCTCCATCTCCCACCCACCCTTCCACCAGTAGACGTCCTCTCGCACACATTGCATTACTTTAAATGTTGTGCCAATAAAATTCTTCATTTGCAAATTATGCATTTGCTTCTTACATGCAGCAGAATTTGTAAAAGACGTAAAAAAATTCGAGCACATTATTGACTATTGTGATATGGATATGAATAAATCATCTACCAGAATTGATTATTCAAATTTCTTTTAAAATACCATTTGAACACTGTATGCAATTAAACAAAATTTGTTTTAATGCACATACAACACTTTTCAAAAATCCAATATTGTGAACTTCAAATGGTTCATGTTTCTGCATTATATCCCATAATTATGTCCCCTGGACCATAGCTGCACTGTAGCTGTCAATGGTGCATGTGTTAGCATGCCAAAGTTCTATGCATTCCATAACCCACGGGAAACAAATCCTTTCACAGAAAATTTCTTGGGAAACTGTCCTATTTACCACACATTTAGATTGTGCTATATGCATATCGCATGGACGCAGCCATTATATTTCAAATCTGAAAAACCACGAATCACCCATTTTGTCGAATGTGTCTTTACTCTGATAAAAAAAAATCTCTACTTTTGAGTAGAGATTGATGCGCCTGGTAGGGGGGCGGGGGGGGGGCATTGCACACTGTGATAGGAAGTCGGTAACCTCAGTTGGATAACTGGCCAGGGAATCATGTGACAGTAGATTGACAAAGGGATGAAATTTATTTATTTACATATCAAATAATAAGCAGTTCCTCCTTTTGCAGCCAACATATATTTTTTAAAGTTACTTCAAATTGAGTCACTCAAATACCCAAGTTGAATTTGAAACCCACGTTTTAGTATTTTCGAGCAATACGGATATGCAGCATATATAAATGCATCCACATCAAGATATCTGTACACAGAGTTGGCGTATTTATATTATTCGAGAGATGCAGTCAGTCATGGGCAGAGGGGGGAAAAAAAGCTCTTGAGTCCGAACTTGAACGGGGGTAGGGTGTTGACATCACAGATGGCAGGGGAATGGGATTTACAGACTTGAGGGCTGCTGAGAATTAGTCTCCCTCCACTGAGCGACGTTTGACCGGGCGACTTCGATGGGAAGCCTTGGTTGCTGGGGCAGAGAATGCATGGATGGGAGTAGAGTGAGATGAGGGGAGAGGGAGAGGGTGAGTACAAACTTAAAATTGATGGTGGAATTGCATTCGACGTCAACAGCGGGATTGGAATGTTGCCGTGATGTGGTCTCGTTTTGCAGATGCGATGAGAAGTTGGCGGCAGTATTTTGGATCGTGTGGAGCTCGGAGATGCAAAGCGTTTGTGGAGGTCATGGATGAGAGAGTGAACTGTGATAGTCCAGTTGGGATATGGCTAAAGATGAGATGGTTGATATGGGAGATGTTGAGTAGTTGGCAGTACAGTACGGGATATGTGGGAAAAAATAGAAATGACGATCAGTGACAACTCAAAAGTTCCACACACTCTTCACTGGTTTAATGCCAACGTTTAACATGCGCATGCTCAAACTGCCGTCTTTACTGAGAGTGGAGTCTGGCGATGTTTTGTACTTTTGTGCTGGCAACAGATAAAGAACACACTTATTCTATAAAAGTATGACCACAATAGGCCATATTGTCGAAAAGATTCAATAATAATCGGAAGAAAAACAACCAAGGTTAAACTGCACAAGTATAAAGCGTAAGCATTTTTAAAATGCATTAAGGCTGTTCATCCATTAATCTTTAACGTCTCGTTTTATTGAACATATACACAAATCAAGAGTTGCCTTACTTGGTAGTAAAAATGTTAGAAACTGGGCAGCGAGGATTTATTTTATTCCTGAATGCATTGATCTAACCCTTATTTACTGCACATCCATTATGCCCATGAGTATGGCATCAGGGTGCCAGCATTGAAAAACACGCAGCTCCTCAACCTTGGTTTCACCATCAAGCAACACAAGAAGCCAAACGACTGCGAAGCTGCTCTAGTCCCCAATGTGTGTTTTTGTACGACATGCCCACCACCACTATCATCATCATCATCGACGTGTAGGCGATGATGGCCCGTTTCACCAAGCAGAGTGGGTCCACGGTTCACAGCATATTGTAGAAAGGGCTTCCGCAAGTTTAGGCCGGTCCCACGACAGATTGGACCAACCCACGAGTCCGTCGGACTGGACGGTGCCGTGATAGATATTAAGTTTCAGTTTCATTTATTTGGTATAGCCCTGTGAGCCATTCGGCTCTTGAATCGGGTGCAACCGCAACAAACACAAAACATGAACAAGAAAACATCTTAACCGAGCAGAGCGGCAGCAGACGGCACCTCGAGCCACGAGAAGAGCCCGGTCCACGCTCACGAGGAATTGGCGCGCAACAACCCATTTGTAAAGTGTTTATTTCATGAACGGTTTGGTAACACTGGCGCGCAAGCAGTTTAGAAGAGGTGAGTGGCTCTGAAAAGAGCCTTTGGGTTGATTTAGTGCGCGAGAGATGGGCACTCGGCCTCCGAAGCCGTAGAGAGTGCGGCCCTGGCGCTTGAGGGCGTAGACCACGTCCATGGCGGTGACGGTCTTGCGCTTGGCGTGCTCCGTGTAGGTGACGGCGTCGCGGATGACGTTCTCAAGGAAGGCCTTCAGGACGCCGCGGGTGTCTTCGTAGATGAGGCCCGAGATGCGCTTCACACCGCCGCGGCGAGCGAGGCGGCGGATGGCGGGCTTGGTGATTCCCTGGATGTTGTCGCGCAGCACCTTACGATGGCGTTTTGCGCCTCCCTTGCCGTGCCCCTTACCGCCTTTACCGCGTCCAGACATGGCGACTAATTCTTCTACTGCTGACAAAGCTCGCGAGAGATGGTCGAGATAAACTCTTTGCCTGGATATGTAACAAGCAGGGCACGGTTTGCGGGAGCATCGTCCTCCATTTTTGCAACAAGGCCACATGGGTTTAACACGTGGGGCTTGTCGCGACCAACATTATTCAGAGGAAATGTTTTTAGGGTTAGATTGCATAAATATAAATGTGGCATGAACCCACCAACAAACAAACCACCCCCCCCCCCCCCCGTTATTATGAAGAGCACATGGACGGAGTCGTCTTGAGCGATCATATCATCAATGCCAAGAAGACCGGTCCTCTACGAGACTTCGGTGTTGCAAACACAGTCGGACCATTTGAGGCCAAGAAGCTGTGGCTGAGACCAATCATTAAATTATTTTTTCGGATTGACAGAATGGCGACTTAACGATGTCATTAGACAGAATCTTCCATTTATAAACCATATAACATTGTGAGATTTAGAATTTATTTTTTTAATGACAGGCTTATGTTAAGTGAATTACAGTTGAAGAAGTTTTAATTAATCTTTATTTTGATTGTGTATAAAAAAAAGCATAATAAAACTCAATACAACAAATTTGCCAATAAATATGCGAAATACTGATGCCATGGCAATTGTCATGTCATGAATATTGATATTGTATCGTGAACAATTATACTGCCATGACCCGAGTGCGGAGCGAAAGCAGAGAAGCATCTCAATCTCAATCAGGTCTCAATTGCTTGTAACTTTAAGTTAATAAATAATGCAGAAGCATAAATGTATAATTTAATAAATATGCAATAGCTATCGGTGCTGTACGAGTTCAGGGAAGAACTTTTCACCTCTTACCGTATTGTATTTTGTTCCCATGATTGTGATGCACATTATTTATAGAGTGATTGTCTTATGACATTGCCTCACATTGCTCTGATTGTGAACATATGTGGTAATGTCCATGCATAGTTATGAAATCACATCGATACAATAGACCACAACCGATAAGAGTGACGTTTTGGCATTCCGCTCATAAGTGTATGTTAGCACCAATTTCAAAACCCTATTAAAAGCACAATTGACATCTCTGATTGCACCACAGTAAAAATAAAATGTCTTCCCTCGGAACAAAGGCTTACGTGATATGGGTATATATTTTTCTCAGGGCATTGCTCCAGCACAATCAAGCATTTAATTATTTATTTACCGAGAGAGAGAGAGAGATCCATCAAAGAAACAATATTTCGTTTGCATCGGAGGCATGAATGCAGTTGATCTACATAGTTCCACATGTATACATCGCAGGGTTATGTACTGCTTGTTACTTTATATTTGCAGAGCGTGCGTGGCCATATGTGTGTGATGCTCCCTATGGGGGCGTTGGTGCAGTGCTTAGCGTGCTGCGCTACGAACCCGGCGACCCGAGATCTAGTCCCAGTGACGATTATCTGAACCGGTCATGGGCCTCCGCTAGGTCGACTCAGCTTCAAATGTGTACCTGGTGCGGTGTGTAGTAAACATCGCCACTGGGGAGACAAAGGCGGTCGGGCGTGGTGCTAGCCGCCCACCCACCCCCTCGTGTGCCACTGTTCCGGCCTTCATAGGTGCTCGCTAACAGTACTTGCCCCTACAGTCTGTTAAGGCTACACGGGGGATATTTTTCTTTGTGTGCCATAACAAGCCCTGCCTCCTCATGGTGCCAGATGGTAACAAAAGGTGGTGTGATGCGGGTGCTGCCGTAGGGGGAAAGGCACAGAAGTCAGCCGAGTATACAGGAGGTAATGTCACACTCACCACAATGGCTAACAAGGTTTCCGGCGTGATGATGCAAGGGACCGATAACCCCCTCCATGTAACCTAATTACCACGTGGAGAAACATCGGTAAGTGCCGGTGGTCCTGAGGGGACAGGTGTCCATGTCGTCCATTTGCCTGAGCCAGGGGATTGAGGGCTCTGCTTGGAGCGCGCCTCCGCAGATACTCGGCAGTTGCTTCAGCTGACCGCACCGCTGTCCAAAAGCTCGCCGAGGAGAAGAACCTGCCATTCCGCTTGTCAGGAACGACAATGGGACGGTGGCAATGCGTAGCCCACACAGCTGTCCACGGGAGTGCCGTGTATCGGTTTCACACCTCTCCAGAAACCTTGGCTAATACAGGAGGTGACTCCAGCTTGCTGAGAGGAAAAACAGGCGGCCCATTAGAACTGATTACAGCATTCCACTCCCAGAAATTAGGCTTGCCATCGCCCTATCTCAGAGGTCTGTGAAGTGGTTCGATTTGAGTTGTCAATGGAAACTGCCCAATAGACTGTTATCACAAAACATTATGTATTTTTTTAGCATCTAAGAAAAGACACCAGCAGCACTGACATAGATTTATATCGTTAAAAGCAAGAATGGAATTTCAATTGCTATCACACCCCAGGTGTTGAGAATTGATGAGTGTGTCTCGAACACATATATTGGGAAGAGTACTGCTCAGCGTAATCAACATCATTGGGCAGCGGAGCTCACTACTGGATAGAGCAGAGCCAGTGGCAACCTGGGTGATCTGTAGAGGAAGGATACTTGTTTTGTACGAAAATCACAACAGAACGTGTCCTGTGGTCATTTCACAGGCCATGTTCCCTCGGGATTAGCAGGATGCTCTGGTGCCCCATCCCCCCACCCCAATAATAAAGAGGACGTCACAAATTGCAATAATTAGTGAGGCATGCTCAGCCTCAGCATCCAGAAAAGGTTTTGGAGAGAATTAAGATCAAGCGAGGCAGGCTGAGGGGATTATTACGGAGCCCGCTGGTGGGTTAGGAAAGGGCCATCCAGCATGGATGCAACATTAAAACACGCGTCTGCAAGAACATATGTGTCGGGAATTTTTAACAGGACCTACACATTTCCTTTACTGACGTTGGGTTTGTTCTTTATGCTCTCTGGATCCCTGACCCCTACCATGGCCACAGAGGAGCTTCACCATGGTGGGTATGCCCCTTGTGGGCAGGATTCCAAATCATTATTTGTGTCCCTATGGTTGTGATGGAGATGTCATCTGGCACTGGCAATGTTATTTGTAAACCACCCTGTAATAATGTTTATCGGGTACACATACAGTAGGAAGCTATTGATGCTCAGCTATGGAGATGGCTCTCTGTAAAGATGGCTCAAGAGGTGACTCCTTATTTTCATTTTAACCTAGAACATTCGGGTCCATCCGATGAACCACTTATTAAAAAAAACCTTTGGCACTGGACATGGTCTTAAAATGCACTTAGTCTGGCTTAGGCGCCATGGTGATGTCAATGCCACTCTTTTACACTGCAGTCAATAACAATTAGATTTAGACATTAGAATGCGCGATTTGCGCGTGTTGGTGGAGAGCTATTTAAGCCTGGTGGATCGCTCCGTCTTGGTCGAGCTCAATGAGAAACGCAGAGTGCTTCACGGAGCCTAAATAGCACTGCGCCCACGTGTAAATCGTACCCATAACAGGGCTGTCAAGTTTGACAAACGTCAATGTGTAAGATTTACCGGCTTGGGATACCAATCGGTCAATGGTATCCTCGAATTGTAGCGCTTGCAGAGGCGAAGTGGTGGGCGGGTACCACTCTTGGGTCCAATTGAGCATGAGTGAGTTTGTTGTGTTTGCGTGCGATTTGTGCCTAAGGGGGGGGCGGGGGGGGACAGCCTACAGGGGGCAAGGGACAGCGGTGGGACCGTTAGAACCTAGAAGCCACGTGATGCAGCGCGTCGGCGTGAGTGTGTAAAGGCACCTAAGTTCGTTTGTCACATGCGCAATGCGCGCGCGTGTGTGTGTGTGTGAATCGACAGCGATGTAATACGGGTTTTATTTTATTTTTTATATATACTCCGTGTTTCTGTACAGCAGAAAAATAAAATATTGGTCTATAAGCTTGTAAACAACTTTTAGCAGTGTCTGTCGGGCTTTTTGCATAGATGAAATGGAAGGTCAGATTTTGAAAATTGACCCCATTTGAGGGTGTTCATATGGGAGAGGGGAAATCAATGTTTTGAAATGTGGATCTGCTTATGATTGGATCGGTGTTGCCACTGGACTATGAAGGTTGATGTTTGGAGTGTTCACATGATCCAAGAAAAGTCAATCGAACAAAAGATCAACTTTTGCCTTTGAAATGTAAAGCATTCTCATTTTTGTGAAGGCCTCGCTTTTGCGAAAATACTAAACTGCAGAATTTGAACACTTTTACACGGTGATGTATAATTAAAAGTGGAAATTATTTTAGAATTTTTTTCTATCAAATCAGGATACGCAGCACTGTGTCAATTGGTAATATAAAAAAAAGATGTGTTTAAAACCCGCCACAAGATGCGTTTATTTTCTCTTGCTTTGAGTTCTCCGAATTAGATTCTATTTGCCTTCTTAGTTTGTCCTTCCCATGTCCTATGATTGTTTTGTGATGTACAGTGCGTTGAGTGCCTAGTGGAAAGGCTATTTAATAAATGTGGTTTATTATTATAACAACACAAATTTTTGTAATGCTGTTAATATTGTGGATATATTTTCCAATTTGCAAAACAAAACAAAATTGTATAAAAATGGGCATTTATTTAGTTTAGTTTTAATGCGTAACATTCGAGATATATTCAATAATGTCCCGTCATCTATTTCCATTGATTGTTATATTGACTGTCAACAACAAATGCGAGAGAGTTACTATTTTATTCATTTGTTTTGTTTCCCTTTATGTCTCCAATCCTATTTTCTGTAAACATATTCTAATGCTACTGTGAATAACATTGACCAAAGCAAGTCTCCTTGTCTGACTACCCTGCTATTTTTTACACTCAACACATTCGTCAATAACAGTGGCCTTAACAGGAAAAAATATATACTCTGTGACATTTCAGGAAATGGCCCTTCTTCATTGCACGTAATATGTAATGTGTATTTTTTTGTCTTCTGTGTAGCTGCTTCTCAATACATTATATTATTTCTAAATACTTTTTTTTTAAATATATATCTTACTTAGGCCCTGGTTTCTGAGAGCTTGA